CTCCAGCAGCGGGGTAGGAAGTACGAGTTGATGCGGGCTTCTTGCGACATGAAGGGAAATAAAAAAAGAATGCTATTGGATTCTGGGCTCATAAGTGAATAGTATAAGTGGGAATTTTAAAAAGTCAGACTAAGTCCACAAATATTGAAAGCTTATACTAGCCTCATTTAAATCTACGGCAACTTAAAGTTAAGCTGCTAGCCTGATTTGAAGCTGACGTTGATTAGCTTGAGGCTTGAGCTGATAGCCTGATTTACAGCTGACTTTGATTTAACTTGCAGTTAAGCTGATATCGTGATTTACAGCTGACGTTGATTGAACTTGAAGTTAAGCGGATAGACTGATTTAAAGCTGACTTTGTTTGATTTAACTTGAAGTTAAGCTGATAGCCTGATTGGAAGCTGAGGTTGATTTAACTTGAAGTAAAGCTGATAGCCTGATTTAAATCTACTCTAAATGGATAGTCTAGTTCTGTTTTTTGCCCAAAAGAAATTATACTCAAGTTAACTTATAGCGCCTATTTTTGGCTGTCCTAGACCCACAGAGCCGTTTTGTTGATTGCGTTTAACTCGAACGATGTACGATCCATCAACATCACTGGTGGGTTTTTTTTTTTTTTTTTTTTTTTTTTTTTTTTTTTTTTGTGTGTGTGTGTGTGTGTGTGTGTGTGTGTGTGTGTGTGTGTGTGTAAATTCCTTAACTGCAGCTACTGCAACTCGGTCTGTTCGTTCGCTCCTCCCTTCACTCCCTTGTTTGGTCGCTTCTTCTTCTTCTTCTTCTTCTGGAATGTGTGCGTTTGAGGTTTGCTATGTCCGTGAGGTGGTGTTATCGATACTTCTGATGTTTATGGACAAGTGGTGATTGGCCTCGCTACTTTCAAATTATTTCTATAATCTATTCAATTCAATTCTTCTTCTTCTTCTTCTTCTTCTTCTTCTTCTTCTTCTTGTCATTATTCTTTTTACTTGGTCGATTGTGTATCAATTCACTCGTTCGTTAATTCCCTCATTATCTTCATTTGTGCCCTCGTTTGTTTGCTATCTAGAGATAGTCGTATGCTATTCTTCATTTCCTCTGATTGCTCGCTTTACCACTCGTTAAATGCGAGGAAGACAACATAAATGCCAAAATTATGCCGATTGTATCTTTCCACCTTCTACCTGAATATTCACTCGCGATTTTACACGTGGCGGGTAGTTCAGCGAGCCCGTCCTTCTGCGTCTCGCTCTCCATCCTCTGTTTTTTTTCCAGTCTTGTCCTCCACGAGTGCTTTCCTGTGCGCTGCTTCACCTGCAAGCGACATCCTTTTTCTTCTTTCTTTTTTTTTTTCGAGGTTTGGTCCAATCAACCGACATGATCCTGTGTTTAGTCTTCGGCCTTACTTAGTCGATTCTTTTCGCTTCTCTTTTTTTTGTTCTTTGTTGTTATTATTGCTGTTCCGATGCTGTTTGTTTTTTTTTTTTTTTTT